AGAACTCCTCCAAGTAAAAATAGCTAAATTAACAGATATCTTTAAATTCCTTCTTAAGTGAATGACCGAGCTGATGGGAATGTAAAAAAAAAAAGAAAGAAAAAAGAAAGAAAGAAAGAAAGAAAGAAAGAAAGAAAGAAAGAAAGAAAGAAAGAAAGAAAGAAAGAAAGAAAGAAAGAAAGAAAGAAAGAAAGAGAAAGAAAGAAAGAAAGAAAGAAAAGGAAATCTTTGGGAGCAAATGAGAAAGCAAAAATCCAGAGAAATAAGGAACCAAAATTCAAACTAACTGTGGGACCAGAAAGCGCAAGCTGAACATTTAGTTTTAAGTGAATCTGGGTTTATAGAGTTTTCAGGCATCTGGTAAAAGTAAACACATATCCTCTCTGAAAGACTGTGACTTTCATCCAGACCTCAAAGACCTCTCAGATAAAGTTCCAATGAACATGAGTTCAAAACTGAAAATAGTAAAACTCACAAGGAACAAGACACCATGAGCAAGAATCAGCTAGAAACACGAACTGCAGATCAGACCTGTTAGGACAGCAGAATGCAGAATTATCAGAAATAGGAATATAAGGAGAAAAAACTATTTAAAAGAAAAAGGCCTTAAAAATATGGCAAAGAAACAAGAGATTTTCAAAAATAAACACGCAGATTTGGGGGTGGGGGGAAAGAACTTTTAAAGATAAAAAATAACACTAAGTCTAGAAACTCAACAGATGGGTTTAAAAGCCATTAGAAACAACTAAAGACTTAGTGAACTAGAAGCTATATCTTCAGAAATTAGCCACAGTGCAACACAAAGAAACAAGTAATATGAAAGAAAATTGACCTGACATAAAGAATAGGATGGTCCAACGTAGATCTAATCAGAGTTCCAGAAGGAAATGAAAGAGAAAATGGGTAATATGTAATATTTGAAAAGACGATAATTGAGAATTATCTAGAACTAATTAAAAGAAAAACAAAAACAGTCCTGAGATTTAAGAAGACAACAGCACGATGGAAACCAGAAGATAGTGAAATAATATCTTCAAAGCGTTGACAGAAAATAACTATCAAATAGTTATTTTCTATGAAATAGAAAATAACTATTTATTTCTAAAATAACTTATTTTAGAAATACTAGTTTAGAAACTAGTATTTCTAAAATAAGGGTGAAATAAAAATAGTTTCAAACAATAATTAAAAGTGAGAAATTTTACAATGAATTGATAGTAATTATAGGAATTTCTATAGGCTCTACTTCAGGAAGAAAGAAGATGATCCTAGGAGGAAGAAGTCTGATATATGAAAAGAAATAATAACTGAGGTATAGTGCAAAGAAAAATTGATTACTTAAAAGATAATGCTTTAAAAGTGTAGTTTATAAAGGTAAAACTAAAATATTGAACAAAAGTTTGTAAATTGGTAGGTGATTGGAGTTAAAGCATTCTAAGCTTCTTGTAACATTCTGGAGGAGACTATAAATACCAATTAAATTCAGACTTTGTTAAGTTGAGTAGGCATGTTAAAGTTTCTATACTAACCACTAAAGAAATAGAAACAATATATAGTTTTGAAACCTAAAAGAGAAGAAGAAATGAAAAGTACAGGGAAAATCTCTCAATCCAAAACTAAAGCGAGAAAAAAAGAAAAAGGACAGGATATTAGTCTATTTTGTCTCTATTAAGCGACACAAAATAAGATAGCAGAAATAAATTTAAATATATAAATCAACACAATTAATATATTGGACTCTCCAACTCTCTAGTTGAGAGAAAATATTATAAGAATGGATTTTAAAAATAGAGTCCATCTATTTGTGGTTCACAGGAGAGACACCTAAAACGTAAAGTCACAGAAAAGTCGAAAGTGAAAAGATAGAAAAAGTTACCTAAGAAAATACTAACTAAAAGAAATCTGGTATAGCCATATTAACATGAGACAAAACTTAAATTGAGGAGAAAGTTTTCTGAAAAAGTAGGAAGTTATTATAAAAAATGTGTCAATAATTTTAGGAAGAAATGGATAAACTCCTATAAAATGTAAATCATTAAGAGTGACTCACATGGAAAAGAAAATGTCAAAGGTTCTATAAATATTTTTTAAAATATCCTCAAGAAGAATACTAAGTCTAGACAGATTTACAAGTGAATCTACCAAATGTTCAGGCAACAGATAATGTCAATCTTTTGTCATTCTTTCAGAGACTAGAAAAAGAGCAAATATGCCCCGAGTATTTTTAAGATTAGTATTATCTAAATACCAAAACCTTAAAAGAACAGTATAAGGTAAAGAAACTTCAGACCATTATCACTTATAAAAATTGATGCAAAAAAAATTCCTAAACTAAATATCTGTATACTGAATCCAGCAATGATTAATAATAAGAAGATAATGTATCATAATCAAGATAAATTGCTTCAGAAATAAAAAGTTGTTTCAGCATTTAAAAAAATCTATTAATGTAATTCACCACATTAATAGATTAAAGGAGGAAAATCATATGATCACCTCAACACATACATAAAGAACATTTAATAAAATTTAACATCATTCATGATAAAAACTTCTCTAGTAATCCTTTACCTGATAAATTTCATACTCATTGGTGAAAAATAAAATTGTTAACTTTTAAATTAGGAGCAGATAAAAATACTCTCTATTATCGGTTATGTAGAATATTAAACTGAAGGTCCTGGCCAGTAAAATAAGACAAGAAAAAAATAATAATAGTAAAGAAAAAGAAATAAAAAGTACACAGAAGAATCAAAACTGTGATTAATCACAAATTATTGATTGACTACACAAAAAACCCAGAATTCTCAAATCAATAGTTAACAAGGGTTTCAGAAAGTTTTTTAATATAACACCAGCATATGAGAATTAATTTAATTTATATATGAGCAAAAAAATAATTAGAAAAAGTACCATAAAAACTCCAAGTAAAAATAACAATAAAGCATAAAGTAGCTAGAACTAAATATAATAAAAGCAATACCAGACTTTTTGGAAAAAAATTACAAAAGTTTATTGAAAGACATTAAAGAAGACCTAAATAAATGGAGAGATATATCATGTTCATGGTTAAGACAATATTACAAAAATGTCAGTTCTCCAATTGATCCAGAAACTCACTGTAACTCAATCACAAATCACAAGTTTTTTTAAAAAAGAAGTTGACAAGCTGATTGTAAAACTTAAGTGGAAAAGCAAAGGACAAGAATGGCACTCCTAAAAATAAACAAAGTGAAATACTATTTTTTACCAGATGTCAAGACTTATTATAAAGTTATCACAAATAAGACAGTGGTTTATTAATACAAGGAAAGACAAATAGACCAGGGGGACGGAATAGAGAGCCCACAAACAGACCCACACTTGAATGGAAACCTGGCATGTGACACAGCTATCGTTATAGATCAATGAGAAAAGACGGGTCATTCTATAATGACTTGAATTCATTGGTTATGTGGGAAAACAGAAAAAGAAATCGAAACTCTACCTTGCACTTCACACACACACACACACACACACACACACCAATAAAAGAGAGAAAAGCAAAACTTTAGAATTTTTAGAAGAAAATGTACAAAATATCTCCTTTTAAAAAATTTTTAAAAACAACAAAGAGAGGAAGTGTTAGCCTAAGATATCCAAAATATACATAATAGGAATTTCAGAGGAAGAGCTTAAAGATGACTTGAGTCTAGAAATTAAAGAAACTAATTAATAGAATTTTTGAAGAGCTGGTTCTTTGGATAAAAAACAACTATAAAATAGATGAAATGCTATTCAGCCTAATTAAGAAAACTAACACTAATGTACAAAATTAAGAATGAGGATAAAAACAGAACAAATAGTGAAGCATTTTCTTTTATTGTAATAATATGTACTAAGGTAACAGGCAATATCTGGGGACATCTAAGCCACCAAAGTGACTAAAAAAGTAGAAAGTGATCAAAGAATCTCTTCCCCAAAAGATGCTGGGCCTAGTTTTACAAAGGAGTACGGGGTAGACGCATCTTATACATTTATGCAAGATATGTATTCCTGAAAATCTGGTATAAGTCAAAACTCACATAATATAACACCGTTTTCAAGAAAAGATAACTGGTATCCTATTTACCAGCTAAACCATAAATACAATTCACATTGCCAGCACCTTTTAAACTACATAACTGTTAATCATTTTTTAATTTAGGTTGATACACATTATTACACATTTTGTAAGCAAGACTATTAAAATGTTTATATCATGTAATTTCCAACTTGCATAATTCAAGTTCATAGAGTAGCACAAGTGTATTTTCAAATCTTAAAGATATAACAATTCTCATGCTGTAGAGACTGTCCAAGAACAAAAAATGAGAGTGTACCACCACAAAAATATTTAATGAAACTACTATAACCCTGATATCAAAACCTAACAAAGACAATGTAGAAGTAATCTTTATTAATAGAGATGCAAAAATCCTGAATAAGTAATAGTGAAGCTAACTGCATGATATAGTCTAGAAGTTTTACTTGCAAATTTTTCTTAACCAGGGTTAACAAGTGCTATCCATTCTTTTGACTAACAATCTGACTATGGTCCAGAGCCAGTTGAAAACCTGCAGCTAATTTAGCATGTCCACTGCAGCTCCCAACAGATGAGCTGTATCTTGACCAGGAGTCAGTTGTTTGTTCTCAAAACTGTTTATGCTAGCTGTACTAATATGGTGATTAGATCAATATGTAAATATTACAAAATATATAAATTTGAATTTAAAAAGAAAGGGCATTTTAGCTCTGAAAACTAATTTAACGCTGTTGGGTTTTTGTTTTTTTTAAATGATGAAAGCTAAGGACGAGCAAGATAACAAAAGGTGGGAGGAGGAGATCTTAAACTTTAAAAGGACTCCACGTAGGTTTTTTGCAGGTGTCATTAAGATCTCATCAAACTTTAATAAATCTAAAGGAAAAATCAGAGGTACGCGTTTTGGATGTGGTTTATACTGGAAGGATGAGATGACACTCGAATGGCAGATCCAAATTCAGAGAGGCCTTGGCACATGTCAAATGACTGACAAATGAAGATACATGGACATGGTTAGAAATAAAATCTTTATGGTATGCACGTATGACTTTTAATGAGTCCCTATTTAATCAACTTTTTCAATTAGCCAACCAACCACCTTTCTTGATTGATTGGATAAGAGGACTGCAATTGTAGTAACTACAATACCATGACCAATTCACTGGTTTGGGTTCTCTCCAGGAATGCAGGACAAGTACACATTGTATTAACAGGACAATGGAAAGCAAAATGGTCATCTTGATAAATGTTAAATAGCATTAGACATAATTAAATTCTCATATCTAATTTTTAAGCTATTAATAAACATAAAAAAAGACACAACATTGACAAAACCAAGAATATCTATCTGAAAATGTCAATCATTATCATAATTAATGAGAAAATGGTAGAGGCCTTCTCATTAAAATCAGTAACTAAATAAGTTCACTCACTAGCATCTCAAGTATCAAATGTTATTTTGGAAAAAGAAATAAGGTATGACTATTAGGGGAAAAGGGACACATTTTTCATTGTTTGAAGAAAATAATCTTACCTACCTGAAAAACCCAACAGAATCAGTTAACAACTGTCAGAATGAATAAAGGAGCTTAATAATCTGTTTCAAAGTAAATATATAAAAATATTCTTTACCTATATTCTAGCAATAACCAGTTAGACAAAGTCCTAAGAAAAAAGATATTCCACTTAGATAGCAACAAAGGCTATAAAATACCTAAGAATAAATTTAACAAGAAATAGGTTGGATCTGTATAAAGTAAATTAAAAGTAACTCCTCTAAAGTACATAAAATAAGACAATAGTAGAAATTAAGAAATTAAATGTCCAATGGTAGAGTAGTAGTTAAACTTTATGGATGTCCATATAATGGAATGACATGCAGCCATATTTTAAAAGAATATAAAGATATGGAAAAACATTCATGATACACTTTTAAGTAAAAGAAAATGCAGATTATAAAAAAAAATACAATATGGTTCCAATTTTGAAAAAAAAAAAAGTTTGCACATGTGCCTAAAAGATATATAAAAATGTTGGCATATCATAACCTTAACAGTGCTTATTGTCAACTAGTAGAAATACAGGTGGTTTTAACCTTCTGCCTGACACTTTTTCATGTTTTCTATATTTTCTACAATGGGAAAATCAGAAAAATTTATACAGCTTTCTTTCTCCTAAAAGCCCATAAAATACCCAGTACAGCAATGCTTGCCCTTGGCACCATGAATGGAATGAAATTTCTGACAGGTCCCATCTCTTATACCTCCGCTACAGATCAGGGGCTCCCCTTAGCCCCCAGCTTGGGACTTCGTGAGTGCATGTTGAAGGCCAGACATCAAAGTTCTCTTGCTGGAGGGACCCACATCCCATAAAGATAACATGTAGGAAATCAGCACAAGCGAACAGAAGTAGCCCTGCTGGGAACTACAGGAGCTCCATGGGCTCCAGCGGGCCCCTTAGAATCTGCTGGGAACAGCCTGGGTTCCTCCATCATACACACCCTTCATGCCTCTGGGAGGGGCAGAGAAAGTCAAACCGCTATTGCTCACAGAGGCTCCTCGGGTCCCAGGGCCAGCAGTCAGGTTCTGATCTAGAGAATTCTCTGTTTCCATTGTTTCCTTTGGCCCATGCAACCCCAATCACCCCCAAACCCCGTCCTCATACAGGTAAATAAGATTATGGAAAATCCCAGCATGCATCAAGAGATAACTCAGAGATGTCTGTTTCTGAGAATCTTTCCTTAGCTTTCTCCCCACCCCTCCATCATGGCACAGGGCAGGTAGCTATTTTCTGCCGGGGTTCAGGAAATACTTCCTTTCTTCCCCTCCCACTCTCCCCTCCTCTGTTCCCTTCCTTATTCCCTAGCTCCGCCCCCAGCCCCCCAGGGAAATCAAGCAGCCCACAAATAGGTAAACAATACATACATGAGGAGTGGACGGAGATGCCATGTTAGTGGGGGCCGAGCCCGACAGACCATCTGCAAGCTACAAATTAAACAGGCTGGTTAGCAACAGGATTAGAGAAAACGCTTCAGGAAAGGCCGGACAGCCCTGAGGAAGTACTGGTCTCTGTCCAGGCACCTCTGCTCTCCCTCCAGGGGGCCTGCAAAAGTTGTGGGAGGAACACGAGCTTAGGAGTTGAACAAGCCTGGCTTCAGGTCCTGGCCCCACTGCTTTACCCGATGTATGACTTTGGGCAAGCTCTCTGACCTGTCTGAGTCAGCATCCCCATCTGATGAGCACGAAGCCGACCTCACAGGGCAACAGTGATGAGAATACTGATGAGATGAAGGCCGCACACGCCTAGCATGGGAGAGGCCTGTGGAAGGGGCTCAGCCAATGCCTACATCTTGCCTGCTTTCTCCCTGCCCTCACCGACTCAATGTCACTCTCATACACCCTCCCTGCCTTTCAAACCTTCAACCTCAGACATACTCCAAGCTCCCCACCATCCCTGGCAGTTTCTTCTAACAGCTGAGCCGCATCAATTCCTACTTGGGCACAGTTCCTAAGCTAAGTCTTATCTCCTCAAGGACAAGAACCAGGGCATCATGTGGCTTCTACGAGACCTTGTTTCAGGGGGGCTTTAAGAGTCCTGAAGTCCAACGTACCTCCCTATACTACAGAAAGTTCTTTGCATCCTTTTCAGGCATCAAATCTTTGCCTGCCATCTTCTGGGACTGTGAATCGATGCTTTATAGTGTGAGTCCCTGGGCTGCAGGACCCAGAGTTTCTTGGGGTCAGGACTAGATGCAAGCGACTTTTCCAGAGGCCATTACAATAGTTCCAGAGATGGGGCTCTGGGTGGGTGGGTACCAGTGCAGGTGAACAAGGCCAAGAGATCCCTTCTAGGCAAGAAGGACTGGCAAGTGCAAAGAAGTAGAGGTACGAAGAAGCGCAGCACATCCAAGAGAGAGCGAATGGATCAGGAAGGCAGGTGCTGAGGCAAAAGACAGGGCTGGAGGAGCGGGAGACTGGCTAGACCCAGGGCTCCCAGGGTTAGATCCTCTCTTCCTCTGAGCCTGAGCAGGGGGCTCTGCAGAGTCTGTAGGAGGTCAAGCCCCAGGCCATCCTCCCTTCCTGGACTCCTAGAGCCTGAGGAGAATCGCTCACCGGGGATCAGGAAGGACTCGGGAACACATTGGCAAGGAAGCCCGCTAGGACCTGGAGGGGAGGTGGGAACTACAGACCCATCCTTGTTCCGTGAAGAGGCATCACTCATGCCTCCTAAACTAGCCCTCAGGGATGGTCAGAGCCAGAGCTGGGCAGGAAGGCAGAAAGGCCATGGATACCTAGACGAGCTGCTGGGATACCTAGATGGCTCTGAGGGGCTGGCCACAGGATGGATGGTATGGTATGACCCACGGAACAGACCAGGTGAACTCCACGTGAAACTCCCAGCTGCCCAGAGACCAGCCAGGCCGGGCAGCAGCTCTGCCCCTCCTGTTCTCATCCTGAACCTCACAGAAGCCTTACTGTTATTTTTAATACAGTTCGTTTTTAGAAAGGTGAGAGGGAAACCGGCAGTTCACCCGAGCAAGAGAAAGAAAAAATAAAGCTAAACATAGTGCTCCAAAGATCTGGTCCAGCTTCCGAAATTACACGTTCCCCTTTGGGAATCAGGCATAATTTGCCGCTCTGGTTCTGGGAGCACGTTCCCACCTTCACGGCGTCCCAGAGACTATAACCGGAGCAGCCGGCTCAAAATTAGCTTGAGCTGGGCGGCCAGGGAGCAGCCAGCCCCAGCACCCCACCCACCCCACCCCGCCAGTGTGGGGAACAGGTCTACTCGCCTTGAGAAGTCTCCTCCATGCTAGCCTCTATTTCCACTGTAACCCGCTCGCCCCCACCCGCCCCCGGCCCATCTCACACATTTAAACACATACACACACACACACACACACACACACACACACACACACAGTCCCTCCAAGCCTTTGCCCAGTCACTCTACCTACCAGGAAAGCCTTCCTCTCCCCCGCTGTCCCTACCCCACAGGCCCTTGAGGCTCTCCTCTCGCCCCACTCCTCCGGAGGAGGATTCCTGATTACTTATGCCACACTGACCTCACAGGGCCAAGAGAGTCCAAGATCTTGGTGTCTTTGCTAATAAAGCATTTCGCCGCTTGGATGTCACTCTGAGCATGTCATTTGACATCTGTCACACATCTCTCATCTGTCTCCCAACCAGAGTGAAAACTTCCCCAGTGTTCTTTCCATCCCCTTCAATACACACATATTCCCCTCTGGAAACTTAGAAAGGAGACCCCCTACCCAGGGTGGTCTTTCAGGATGATAGGCCAGAGTCACCCTTGACCAAGTGACTCCAGGAGCATCTAGGGTTTGGAAGGCAGGTGACATGCGGGGTGGCCAGGGGGCACTACCTCTACTTTGAGCTTCAAAGCTCTCTATAGGATCTGGGGGGACACATGCCCCGTGTTGTTTCTGCACACTATTTCTCTTCCCATCTTCATAATCAGGACACCAAGAACCACCTTAATGAAAAAGAAGATTAGTAAACAAAGACCCTCAATTTTGTTTTAAAGATAGAAATAGCATCCAATTCAGAGTCAGAGACAGAATCAGAAACAGAAAGAGAAGCCAGGGAAAGGAAGGCAGGATAGAGGAGGATGCGTCGGTAGCGGTTCATTCAGATTGCGTTCTGGGTTGAAGGCAATGCCTATTTGTTCGTTTCTGTAGTTTCCAAATTTTATATAATGAACATATATTTATAATCAGAGAAAACGAATGTATCTTTTTTTAAGGCAAAGCACTAGATGGAATGAAACACCTCTCTGCCCCCTTTCTGAGGATATACCAAGGCCCTCAGAAAGTTAAAAGTCAAGGCCACACCATCAATAAGACTAGACACACCTTCGGGAGCTTACACAAACACCTGCTCCAAGCCTCTTCCCACCTCTCATGCATACTCATGTGCATATACCGCATGCACACACACACACACACACACACCCCTTACCCCCACTCCAGGCTACAGGTCTAAAATCTACACAAAGGACAGTCGTACAGATCAAGAATAAACTGTAGGGTTAATATTCATGAGCCTACCTCATCCTATCCCTCATCACCATGGAGAAGAGCTCAAAAGGTCAGGTACCCACCCATGAGGGACGTTCCTCACCCCGAAATGGGTGCTGACCTACGAGCCCTGGAAGGCCGAGTGGACAGATAGATCTGCCTTATGTATACGTTTCGAATCATCCCTAGAATTGGTCATTCTTGACAGAAACTAAACATTTTTAGAAACCTGAGGAACATTCTGCAGTGAGTGTCAGCCCAATGACCCAAGCAACAGGAAAGTCTGAGGTGACCTTTTCTGACATGTGGCAGATTCCTCCCAGGAACTGGGCAGATGATGGTAAAAAGGTTCAACAGCAGAGACGGTGCAACCGAGGAAGGAGATGGGAGGCGCCAAGACGAGCCCGACCTGACAAGAGTGTATCTGAAGCTGAGGAGGAACCTTCAGCTGGATTCACAGCCAGGACCCGGTGAGAACGGCAGTGGGGACTGTATCACCATGAGAAGGAGACAGCCTGCTGAGAAACACCCCGGTGGAACAAACAAGAGCCAGGCAAAATCCAGATTCTGCCGGACTTCTCGTCCCACCATCCCCAGAGGCCAGGGCCCTTCAGTCTGTCTGCACTGACGGAGTGGAGAGGGGACGAGAGCCCAGCCAGAATGACCTGGCAAACCATTTGGAACTGGAACCCACTGCCTTCTCGATTAGCCTCAGAATGCCTGGTCCTCCAAAGTGACAGGGAATGTGCAGGAAAGATGGAGTGAGTAAAAGATTTTCTGGACCCGCCAAATCAGACCAAAGAATCTCAGAGAAAAACACAATACAAAATCCATTTTCCTCAAAGCCCCTATCAGACCCCATCAAGGCAGGGCTTCCTGGAGACCAGGACTAGTCTCCCTACTGGTCTCTGACTCCCTGAGAATAGAGTTACGTCTCCTCCATCAGACAGGGAGCTCAATGAGGGCAAGGTCCAAGCCTCCTCCAACAGAGCAGGTGGATCTCATGTCCTCTTTCCCGCCCCCACCTCTGAGGTCCTGTGAGCTTGTCTCCATGTGAGTGCACATCCAGGAGCCCAGATTCCAGCTCCTCACCCTCTGCCTGGCCAGCGGCTCTAGCCAGAGTGGCTGCGTGCTCCCACAAAAAGCACAGACCCTGATCTGGCTCGCACCCCAACCCCGGTTCACGCGTGTCAACACCAGGAGGATATCCAGACTGGGCCTCCTCACCGTCTGCCTCTGGCTGTGCTCATAGCCAGCAAGACCCAAAATAGTCCCTTTCCCTCTGAGTCTGTAGACATTTGGAGGGCGGCACACACAGAACGGAAGTCCTGCTGGACAAGCCC